TCACACCAAAATCAACTTGGCTTATGACTACAAACAATACATGTTGCCATGTGAATTCTTTTATATATATATATATATATATATATATATATATTCTGTTTATATATTATTTTTTATAGATACAAATATTTAAGTAAATGCTCTGTTTATAATAGACAGTATTAACTACATTTACCAGCCTGAGAAATTTCATAAAAAATATCCTCTATGAAATTTCTCAGACATATTATAAAAAGAGCATTTACTTAAATATTTGTATCTGTGAAAATAACATATAAACAGAAAATATATCAAAAGAATTGTCCAACTTAGTCCATTTCATTATATATATTTATATATATATATATGAAATTATACAATATAGTTTTAAGGGATGTTATATTTGTACTCAATATACAAAATAGAGCCTGCATAAATAGAAGAGTGGTCACTGAGGTCAACATCGATTGGTGACAGTCTGTTTTATGCTTAAACACAATCTTCATGCCATGTGTGTGTGTGTGTGTGTGTGTGTGTGTGTGTGTGTGCGCATGTGTGTCTTACTGAAGACACAAAATTATGTATTTGTTTTGTTTATGCATCTTTGTTTGCCTCTTGTAATATGCACATATAAATATTATATTATTTATTACATTGAGTAAATGTATTCCTTAAAAGAAATCAAATCTCAATGTGACTTCTCTTTACAGGGATAATATTGATGGGGGACTGATTTCATAAATGGTAAATACCTTTATAACTAAAGAAAAAAAGGAACCTTAAAATGAATAGACAGCCAAAGGAAATATTGTTAAAATAGTCAGGAAAATAAAAAGCAAGTGAGATGATATTTCACAAGAGTGAAACAGCCAGCAAGACATAAAATCCTGAAACTAGCAAATGGTTTTATAATATTAGCTTGTTAACCATCACTCTCAAATATGTGCATTTGTCCAATATCATGCATATGTCAATGTTCAACAATACCCAGTAATTATATAAGTTTAACTTGACTCAAAGTTACAAATATGGCATACCCAGTGAGGATTGATTTCACTACTTTGTGGTAATTATCTGAAACAAGCTTGCTAATTATTGCCACATTATGAAGCACCCCAACAGACCATATATATATATATATATATATATGACAGTTCATGCATATGTGTAGACATGGAAACATCAACAAAGTGCAGTTCAATGAAATGCTAATGGATGAAACACATGACAAAAAGCCTTTTTTCCAATTTGTCCTACTAATTTATATATATATATATATATATATATATATATATATATATATATATATATATATATATATATATATATAATGAAACATCTTAAGTCTGACAATTATTTAATATATTTTCTGTTTAGATGTTATTTTAATACATACAATTTATTTAAGTATTTATTAAAAAACAGACCATTTACTTAAATAAATTGTATCTATTAAAATAATGCATTAACAGAATAAATATATATATATATATATATATATATATATATATATTTATTACACACACACACAGTGTAAAAGTTTGTAGCCACCCTGGTAAATTTTTAAATTGGTCCAAAACGTAGTTGTTTCGTACTTTAAATAAGACAAAATTATTATGCATGATTAAAAAAAAGTGAGACATTTTTATTAGAACTTTTATTATGACAAAAAGAAAAAAAAGCATTTTATAATTAAATTTTGGTCTTGTCAAATTTTAAAAAATTTGTCAAAAAATTAAATTTTGGCCTTTAGCCTTGATTACTGCAGCACAAATTTTTGGTATTTATTGCAATTTCTCAAAGTACAAGTTTGATAATTGATTCCATTCTTTTTTTAATGACTCTCAGAGATCTTTTTCATTTTTTGGATGGAAAGATTTCACTCTTTGGTCAAGTTTGTCTCATGCTAATCCTAGGGGTGGCTTCAAACTTTTGAACTATAGTATGTGTATGTGTGTATATATATATATATATATATATCTTCAGTTGTATGGATATGAGTTTGTGACCCTGGGTTTCACGCTTTTGCAATTCCCAGACAAATATATGCCCAAACATGTGTCTATCATACACTCACACAAACAAGGACATTATTCTCATAACTTGTTTTAATGTTTTTTCTTTTGTTACAGTTGTCTACACATATAATTACTTTTGTTAATACATGCATTGTCATTTATTTTATATTTGTTTTGTGATACTAATTTTTACCTGGGCTCACATTGAATCATCCAATATTGTTTGCAGGATAAATGTTCCAGGAGCCCATAAATATTTACTATTGAAAGTGTTGATTCCCGCAACATAATGTTGACTAATAATTACCTGAACATACTAGTGTCCTGCTACAAGTTTTCATAATTTCAGAAAAAAAACTAATGAAGATTCATGCAAATATTTACCCTATTAATGTTCAAGATATTTTACATAATATGCATAAATAACAGTAGATGATATGTCATTGTTACAATGTGGCAACAGTTTTATGAATTTTAACAGATTTTATGTTTATATTCTTAACCAAGATTCTGATACTTGAAGGAGTATTATGTTATAATATAATTTTATAATGACAGAATGTGGTGCAAAGACAAATGTTTTGAAAAAAAGGTTGAGAATAGTGTCGCAGAAATGATGACAGTGATGAACATGACATTAATGTGAAATGAATGCTCTCTGTTTTGAAACTGGCTTTAGAAGTCATTCATTCATTGATGTTGTGAGCCATTGTATTTTATCAGAGGAAACAAACTACACAGCATCCGGAATAGTATTTGAATATTTATCTTTGCTGGTAAATTAGCAATCCACCAATATAAACCTTCCTTTTCAGAATGCTCCACAAGTTTTTAATTGGGTTAAGTTTGGACAAAACAAGTGAGCCACTTTATCATATGAGTGTCTATTTTATTCAGATATTCATTAGTTTTCTTTGCTAAATATAATGGGGTATTTTCATTTATAATAATCAAATTGTTGTCATTTGTTTACACCTGTGCAAAATGAACTGGCGTTTAAACTAACTGCACAAATAGATGTCATCAACCGTCAAATTTTATACTGCAATATATATATATATATGTGTGTGTGTGTATGTATGTATGTATCAATAAGAGTGCTAATAATGTGGGAGGCAGTATGTATGTGTGTATGCGCAAAATGTATTCTAGAATGTTACAAGACAGTGCTGAAAAAGTGATTCCAACATAAATTTTGATGCTTCATCATTTGGTCATATTCAGGGAGGCAGTCCTTCATATGTCAGAAACTAATGTTTAACTACTTCATAGAGACATCTACATTCTATTTTATTCTGTGTATTTAGACAGAAAATGTGTTTGAAGGCAAATATTATTAAAAACAACAGACATTTTGTGTCAATTAATTTTAATGATCAACTTTTCCAAGTTAAGAATAATCCTTCTAAGCCAAGGAGGAAATTCAGTCAGAAATTGTTCAAAGTTCATTTCAAAAGAAAAGTACAGGAAATAGGGTTCAAGCTTTCAACTTTCTTAAGTTATCATCAGAATAGGTAGAGACAATTGGTGAGTATATTAAAATTTTGAAATGGTCTAACAATGCTATTTTATTTGGATTAAAGTATGACTGGACAAATACCAATGTCATTATAAGTGGTAATTTATCTAAGAAGTTACAACACTTTGCTACTGACATCAGTGACCACAAAAAAATTACTATCTACATTCTTGAATGAAATTCTTCTTGTTTGCATCTAAATATTCTGTTTCTACATTGACTTTAGTGTTTAGCAGTATTTATCAAAAGTTTCATCTAAAGTAGAATATACAACATTAATTTACACAATATCATCTTTATGTTAAAAGGAAACCTTGTGTGTATCTTGAAAATTTTGCACTTTTATGTATTAAATATCAAAAAACTAACAAACCAGTTAATTTGTGGCCAATGGGGCCAGTTGAAGTGTTAAAATTAGTTTTAACGTATACTGAAGCCCACAAATACACAATATTTGCTTCACGTCTACAGTGGAATTCAAAATGCAACCATGCAGATCAGCTACAAAAAGAAAAAGACAAAAAGCCAAGTGTAAGCAACAAAGATAAGCAAAGTAAGAAAGAATAAATACATGCACCAAGATAAAAATTGTTTCTATCATATTTAAATAAAAAATGTATATATATACGATAAAGGCTTGGACAAGTAACCATCAGATGTTTATATATATTCAAACAAAGTTTATATTATTAAGAGAAAGTAAATATTTTCACTTAAAAAATGAGTATAAATCACTTGGGTCTTATTACATAATTGTTCAAATAATTTTGCACTATCAACTTGGTAGTTTACTCTGAATATTTACAAATAGGGCACAGTTAAAAATCCACAAAGATTGCTGAATTGTTTTCATAGTAAAAATATTGTTAAATAATTCTGTTTCTGAAACAGCTAAATTTCAGTAAACAAATTCCATTTGAATTTTCAGGATTAGGAATTATTATGAGTTTAGGTTAATTTCTTCTGAATCATGTTCTCATCTCTTATCATCAATGGATTTCCATTATTATGCACCCTTTCCTTCTTCAGATGTCTGTCATTATTAGTAACTATATGGAAATTTTGAATTGAACAACTTATTCATTGGATGAAGACAGATTGTTCTGAAGCTGTTGTTTGTCTCAGACAATATACTGGAATCAATGCATAAAGCCAGCTACATATAAGAATATTACACATTATATATCTTAAACAGTAGGTTAAGTTTGAACCAAATTACTGATATTTTTGTATTTGCAGTCAATGTTAATTTTTAGTGAAGGGAAAGATCTATATATGTACCCATAGATGAGGGTCACTCCCAAATCAATGACTCCAATTTTATTTTATTGGTCCATGATACCAGATTTTGTTTGCTTGTTTGTGTTTTATGGCATATCAACCCCAGGTTATTTAATGCCAATAATAGATATCTGGGCCTTGATAACTAGATAGATAGCTTGTCATTCATACTTCGATATAAAGATATATATGTTGGTATTTACACCTTGACAATCAGATAGATAGCTGGATAATCACACTTCGACATATAGATAGATATTCTGATATTCCAGCATTAAAGGCTCTTGCAAGTATTTTAGCATAGCTTAATCGTGGCATTGGGTTAAGTTATAAAAAGGAAAAAAAAATTTTTTTTTTTTTTAAATTTTGTTATGGATGCCAATTTCTGAAAGGAAACTGTATATCTTGCTGGTGTCTGTCTCTTCAAAGATTCAAGTCACTTTTACAGCTGCTACCTGTAAATTTGTTTTTAAGACAATAAGACTTTGTGGTATATCATTTCTGATAAGAATAGATGTACCCCATGATGCTCGAAGACTAGAGTTTTTAATATAATTATATTGATGGTAGTCTTTTATATTTATCTTATTGTTATTCTTTAAGAATGTTTCCTGAAGACATATTATAGCTGGGTTTAGGTCTGTAATTAGTAACAGCAGTTCATTTATATTTGCCTTCACTTCTCTGCAGTTCCATTGTAGAATTCTGTGTGATCTTGAGTTCATTATGTTTTTTTTTTTTTTTATGATATATCCATCTCTTCTAGGGATGGTGGGGTATTCTCAGTTGTCATGTTTCTAGGGTTTTTGTTTTGTTTCTTTTTTTCCGGAGAGGATTTTGTTTGGCTTTTTGATCTGTTCTTGGAAGTTGATCATTGGCTTGGCTGGCTTTTCTTATGAGTTTGTGTGTCTTTTTGAGTTGCACTTTTTCCATGGTGTGTTCTTTTCGCAAGTTCAGTTGCAGTTGTGTTTTCTGATTGTTCTTGTTCTATTTTGTTGAGAAGTAAAAATCTGTTTTGAGTTTCCCAGGTTGTTTGCTGTAGATTCTTTGTCTTGGTTTTGCAGGTCTGTTTGGCTTCTACTAAGGCTTTTGGTTTCCTCTTTTTGAGTTTGTTTTGTGGTATTTGATGTGGAGTATTCAGTTGTTTTTTGGTTATTTTTAGTTGTTGTCATCGTTTCAGGTTTGAGTATTATCGTTAGTTCAGTAAGTAGAATTCTCAGGTTATCTATTAAGGTTGAGATTTCTTCAGATTTGTAGTTAGTTTTTTCTGTTGTTTCTTTTTATGGATATTCAGGATGTTTATTTTCTGAGGTCAGCATAGAGGCATATTTTATTGTGGGTATCTGCATTTAGACAATTTTACTTGCTTTGAAGAAAGAGATATTTTGTGAATATTTTGTTTTGTTGATTTCCTTTTCTTTCTGCCATACTTTACATTCTCTTGAGTCTGCGGTGTGCTCCTCTTTGCAGTTTGGACACCTAGGTCTTTCACTGCAATCTTCTGGATGTTCAATCCCTGTATTTCCACATCTTCTACACAATGGATTTCTAGCACAAGTTTCTTTGTGGTTTCTGTATGTGGTGTCCGTATCTTTGGCATCGGTAACACCTAAGTGGCATTGCTATGTAGGTCTCCACTTTTGCTATTGAATATCCAATTCTTATGTCCCTGGGTATTACAGGGGAGTTAAAGGTTAATATATATGTTTTGGTTTCAATAAGTGTACCATTTTTATTAATAGTTATTCTTTTGACATCTTTTACTTGTTGGTTTTTAGGTTTGTTTTTATCTTTTCCAAGGTGAATAGTGAGAGTTCATGGCTTCTCACTACTCCTTTGGATGAATTTAGGGTTTCCTGTGGATATGTTTTGATTTTTATCTTGTCAAAGGTTGTCCACATTAATACTTTTTTTGCGTGTGTATTTTTGGATGCTACGATTACTATTGTTCCATTCTTCATTTTTTTCACAGATTCTGGTTTTTGGATGTTGGTTGAGATGATTTTCTCTATTTTAAAAGGAGATATTTTGGTAAGGGGAGTATTTTCAATAGATTCTAATACTATGAATTGATGATGTTTTAGTTCATGCTCTGATTCGTTGTCTGAGCTTGATTCCATACGGGGTCTTTTTGTTGTTTTTTTGTTGCCATGTGGGTTTGTTTTTATCTTCATCTCTTTTGCTCCCCACCCTCCTCAGAGACTGGCAGTTGAAAATATTAGTGGGGAAGCCCATTTGCCCTATTTTCTCAGGGATACAAAAGAGGTATACTCATATTAGTAGTATTTTTGCCAGCATTTCTGGTGTTTTTGTTTTCTTACCCCTGTTTTTATGAAAACTTTTATTTATTCCTTCATGTGGCTGATTTTTATATACTAATTGACTGACCCTTGCCACTGCCTTCTGACACTTATTTAGGGAATATCACATTGTTTTGAAATAGAGTTTGAAAGATATTTATTTTGTGAGGATAGGTGTTAAGGCTTGACGTGACTAGCTGATTGGTCAGATCAGACCTCTCCAATCTCCCGTCCAGCCCAGGTAAAGGCCAAAGTGGTGTGTTGCAGGGTTGTGACAAATTTTCACCTGGGTCACGACCTGCTCAACCACCAGGATCCCGTCCACAGACATCACGGGTCGCCACCCACAGCCAACTGGTGGCCCTGTTAAGGTACTTTTACCCTCTGCAGGAGTGCAGTTGATGTATTCTGAAGCCCTACTGACAGGGCGATGATACCAGAGGTGGAAGTAAATATTAAACATTCCAGTGAAATACCCATAATTCTTTTTTGTCTTGTTGTAGATAGCTGACTGGTAAAATGGTGTCTGACATGAAAATAGCTATCAAGTAGAGGTTTGCCATTGATAGATGGATTGATTTGTTTTTTACAGCTTATGAACCATTAGCAGGGTATATAAGCCATAAAAAATATTGTTAGAATATAAGAATTTTTGGAAATAATAATAATTTACTGATACAAGTACTACTAATTAACTTCTAGCAGAGGTGGAAAGAGAACCCATACCTTTCCAAAGAGTATTTGCAGGTGAGTGAATATATAATGAACCTGACTGGTATTGGAACTTGTCTCTCCAATTTTCAATTCCAAGCTGTTATCCCTTACACCACCTGCCCATCCAAGCTTACAGTACCTGGTACTCTCAAGTGGTCACCCATATACAGACTGACTAGGTTCAACATTGTTTAACTTTTGTGATTGTATGAGAACTGATGTGTCATTGAATTATTTTCTCATAGAGTACTAGGAGAAAATAATTGCACTCACTGGCATTCATCAACACAGATTTCTTGCTGAAAATTTGCACTATCCATCATTACTATTAAATTCTCTGTTATGATGACCTGTTGTTTCCTTGGAAATAAATAGTGGCATTTACTTTTGGAGGAACCTTTGTATAGCATTTGGAATTATCTTCATTCTTTATATTTTAGTTAACCTAAAATGACAACACTGAAAAAGCCAAACTGCAGTAAAAGTGTTAATTACTAATTTTCTGTTAAAATAAACAATATGGTTTCCATGGCAATATGTTTGCAATTCTGTGATGAAATTATCATCAAGCAAACCAATTCCAGTAGTCTGTCTCACCAGGTTAAGTAGAAGGTGGCCAACTATCAGCTGGAATCAATTCCTACTGAATCATTTGGCAGAAAAGTGGCTATTTGTTGGTCTTTAAAAAAGAACGTTTTTTTCTCTCTTCCTCTAGTATTAGCAACTTTTATTAGAGAGTAACTGCCTATTTGGTAGAGAGACAGAATAAAAACTTACTAATGCACATCATGCAAATTGCAACCTTTGCATAACATCAAATAAACATCTGGAAATTGTTCAGATGCTGAATACATTTATGTTTATGTTGGCATCAACAAAATGCAAGTTTTTATTTGGAAATATTTTATGTATAGGTACACAGACTCACAAATGTATATATATATATATATATATGATATATATAAGACAGAGAGAGCAGTATATACATATACACCCAATCATTTACACTGATGAGGCAAAACATTATGTCCAGTGATATAGGCTAAGAATGACAGCTAGTGTCTTGCAAAAAAGTACATGTCAGAGTTATAGATATATAAGAAAGTAAGCCAGCCTTGCACACTGCATTTTAATATGTCCAATGCTGCAGTGAGTCATTTTTGCCAAAAGACTTGGTCAGAATATTTTTAAAATGACTCAGCTTTTGAAGTGCTCATATTCAGTTGCAGTGAGTACCTACTGGCAATAGACCCAGGAAGAAAAAAATTACCAACTGCTGACAAGGTCTTGGATAAACAAGACTTATGAATTCAAAAAGTGAATAAAAGGCTTTCCTAGCAAGTATGAGCCAACAAAAGGGTTAGTATGGCATATAAAATAACTTTAATGAAGGTGAAGGAAGAAATGTGCCACAATATACAGTACATCATACTTGTTGTATATAAGACTGTGTAGCCATAGGTCAGTTTATGTTAACCAATATCAAATGCTGAAAATATTTACAATGGAAGAAAGTTACCTTGTTCACTGGGTCATACTTCTTTCTAAATAAGGTGAATGGCAGAGCACATATGCATTTTTATCCTGGGTAAGCAATGGTACCAAAATGTGCTGTGGAACAAATGAGATTCTACTGGAAAAGACAGTGCTATGATTTATATGGATTTATATATTCTTCAACATCATGGCAACAGTGTCTGATTGTAAACATTAACAAGATAGCAAGAAAAAAAAACACTGTCTTTAAAAGTGTCACAAAAAGAATTGAGAAAATGAAAATGAAAATGGTAATAAGCAAAAACAGTGGATTAAGCACCAAGAAAATCAGCAATGACAAGTCACTTTACAACTGTGCAGGCATACATGTCTGTCAGTGATATTCTTTCTCAATATTCTCTGCACAGACATGTTCTCCAAGTGACAGTGCTTTTGTTTCAAAGGGAAAGAATGTTTCTAAAAATAACCTATTATTATTTGCCTTCAATGAAATAGTTATTTTATCAGCAAATTTTAATAAAGAAGTTTTAAAAACATTCATTTTTTGATCACAATGGCAACCCCAGAGCAAGGCATGGATCTGTTACATCGATAAAGGAACTTTTCATGGACAGCGAGAGTGATGAAGAAGAATTTCATGGATTTACCCATGCAGATATTGGTGATGTGTATGACAGTGAGACTGAAAGTGATTTCAACCAAAAAGGAGAAATTATAACTCCATCATAAGCATATGTTCACCTGTGGCT